AAATTGAAAAGGGAGGTAAAAAGGAGAAATTTTGCATAAAAAAAGGAAGGTCAAAGAAAAGAAAAAGATTTTGATAGAGGAACTGAATTTTGTCTTATCCTTTTGACTCCTAAAAGAGATGGAGAGAGAGAGAAAAGGATGTTTGTATTTGTTTGGAGTCCCAATGAAGAAAAATTAAACAATAAAAGAAAAAGAAAATTGTGTCCCTCTAAAAGAAGCCAAGCAGAAGCCAGAGCAAGGGAATGAGATTTATTACCGAAACTGCCCTGGGGTGGGAGGGCATTTTCGGCATTTCATCCATGCTACAATTTCTTCTGCTTTCTTTTTTTCGAAAAGGTGCCACAAAAATTACAACCCCTACTGACAACTCCTTCCGCTACTTTGTCTAAATTCCTTTATTAAAAAAAAAAAACAATAAAAAGAGGGGGAACCACAACACGTGACATTAACTAATTAATAAAAAACAAAATCTAATTTTTTTCTTGTTGAGTTTATTCCATTTTTTGTAATGATACTTGGTTGGTTTAACTAGTTAAGCTATTGCACCGGTACGTATATAATTAAATATTTGTATAAGATTCAACAAGTGAAATCAATATTAAATAAGAAGAAAATGTCAATACATGGATTCGAACATATGACATCCTACTCTGATATTATGTTAAACATGATTAATGAACTCCAGAGCTTTTAAACTAATGAATTAAGGTAAATTTAACCATTTATAAAGTTGGAGGAGTCAAACCATACTGCCACGTGGAGGACAGAGAGTGGACTGACCACTAGGTCGATCCCAAATACTTGTTCCCCATAGGAACAACCTGTAACACTTAGCCAAATTCTGAAGAGGAAGATGCTGAAAATCAACCTACCCAAATCGTGCACGCCCGACAAGCTAACCTTCGACACAACACGCCCAACTACAAGTTGGATTCCTTGCCAGATATCCAAACTTATAAATAAGGGACCTCACTCTACAGCATCGCATTCTAGCTCGATCTCAACGTTAAGTTTGAACTCTAAACTTACTTAAACATCGGAGTGTTTGTTACCAAATGGTCATCCAGATCGCCCAACTTCTTTAAAGATACAGAATATCTTTAAAAAATAAATAAATAAATCAAAATCAAAATGTGTGTGTTTTTAAATTAAAAAGTGTAAATATATATATACAGGGAGCAGGCTTTATACGAGAAGGAAAAAGGATGCCTAATTAACAAAGTGGTAAATGCTCTGCTACGTACGCTGTGCAGAGTCCTGCGCTGACCCCTCTTTTTTTTAACTCTTAGCTTTTGACTTTTCCATTAATAGCCTTTCAAAAATAGGATGATCCCACCAATATCAATCCCTCCTTTTTTCATCATTTTTTAGACATAAAATATTAATAAAAACAAAAATTTGTGGATGGAATATATTTTAAACTAAATAAGATAATTGTATTCTATATTTTCAATATTTTTTAATTTTTATTTAACAGTAGATTTAAAAATTGAATTTCAATTACAAAATGTATTCAAAGTGTTTAGGTAGCAAATCTTGCAGTGCTTGAATGATTTGTGCGGTGTCAAAAATATTAAAATAAAATAACATCAACTAAAAACGATTAATATAGCTTTTATTAGAACAATCATCATTAATACAAAATACTATTTTTTAAAAGATATTAATACAAAATGCTATTAAATTTTATTGTTTCAAGGTTTTTTATTAACATCAATTCATTATAACTAAGTAAAATTAAATAATTGATAAATTAAATAGAAAATTTAAATTTTTATAATAAAATCACCCCACCTAAAAAAATTAGTACAGTTTTTTATTATAAAAATTATTAATATAAATATGAATTAATTTTAATTGTATAGGTTACCTAATAACAATATTTTATTTTCACACGTTAAATAATTAAAACAATTAATTAAAATTAAATAGTTAAATAATGAAATAGAAATTCATTATTTTATTAAAAAATCACACGTACTAAAAATATTAGTATCAATAAATATATTTTAAATAAAAAAATATTGGTAGTACAAATAAAAGAAGAAAAAGTAAAATTTAAAAATAATAAATAAATACATTATAGATCCCATTAATAGATGAGAGATAATTGAAAAAATTGTAAAATAATGATTGAAAAAATATGGATATGCGGAATAGAAGAATAGAGAAATGAGATAATTCCTTTTTAAAAGAAGTAATTTTAAAGTTTTTGATGTGTATCCACCCATTGATTTAGTTCCTATATTTAGTAAAGGCGGTCCAAAGTTTGTTAAAAAAAAAAAAAAAATAAAAAAGAGTAAACACCGTCAAAAGGGAATTCTCATGTCAAGTAAATAGAAATATAAGAATAAAATAAATATATTTTTGCAAAATTTTTAAAGTAAACTATAAAAGAAAATTGTACCGAGAGATTAACGAACAATTCTAAAGAGGGGCTTTAGAAATACAATTTAATAACTTCCGAATATTGTTATTTCTACGATATTTATAATAGTAATAACTCAACTCTATGGAAGAATTGTGATGGGTAACAAATAATTTTACCATATTTAATTATAGCACGGGAAATAAAATTTTAGGATATGAAAAATTTGTACAGTAGATTTCTATATTAAAATTTATATCATCAATCGATGTCTATTAGTGATAAACGTCTATCATAGATTAATTAGTGATAGACACTGATAGTCTGTTAGTCATATATATGAAAAAAAAAGTCTTGTATTTATAAATTTTTGTTGTTTCTCGCTCCGTGACTAACAACCATAATTCATTTTTAAATCCACATTCTATCTTTTACATTATTGCTTATTTCAAATTATAGCTTGAAGCTAACATTGAAAAAAGTTAGCACGTTTGGTTGAGTCAACTAAAGCCCTAAACTAATAATTTCATTTATTGAAACCATAAATTTTGCAAGTTGAGTCAATTAAAATCTTAAATTTTGTGTCAATTTATACGGTTTGTTAAATTATGTTAGAAGACTATTGGTCAAACTAGATGTGAACTTGTGTAGGTTATTAATTTTAAGGGAAAAATATAACGAGATATACATAATAATAAATATCCTCTGCATCATATAAAATAACATTATTGGCATGCCCTTATAATTGCCGTAATAACAATGCATGACCTCCTTAGAATATGAAATGTCAAAAAAAAAAAAAAAAGATAACGTCACAAATCATACGACGTGCTCATCACCTCGAGTAAATTATCCCAACACATACACTATTAGTTAGAATAGTCCCACCATCAATTCCACCCTCATATACATTTTGAATGCCTTCTCGTTAACAAATCATCATTATCATGCCAATGAAGCACAAATTAGAGCTGACAAATTCATTATTATTATTTAGTTTATAATATATTGTTCCATAGAGGAAACAAAATAATAATTACATTAAAATACTACAAAATACGAATGAATAATGTAACCAAAATAAAGATGTCCTTTTTGTTTAAATTAAAAAGAAAAAATCTAAACTCGCCCGAGGGGAAAAAGAAAGTTACTAAACACAATTATTTGATTTCGTTATATGGAACACTTATTTGTCCAACTACATGAAAAAATAAATACGTACTTTTTTTTTATAACATTTTAAAATTTTTATTAACTTTACTACTTTTTATTATACGGTAGTCATTGATTTACCTAAATAGAAATTTTACTAGATGTGTAGTTGTGGCTTTCTCTCCATTTAATTTATGTATATAGGAGAAAAAACTTATAAAGTTAACAATTAAATGCTTTTCAATAAAAAAAGCAATTAAATGGACATTAAAAATAAAAATCTCATAAATATTTTGTCAAAAATCACTTAAAAATTTGCAGAAATTATTTTAGAAATAAACAATAACAATGGAAAAAAGAAAGAAAGAAAAAAAAACATAGTTCGTGACTTGGTTCACAGATGCAACATTTATAGCATAACAAATTAAACATTACTCACATGACATGCTCACGCCTCACTTCCCCTTCCAATTAAATCCGATACACTCATCAATTATTACTTATATTATATAATGCCTCTTTTTCAATTTCCATTATTCATTCCCCCTATAACTTATAACTCTATTTTTTTTTTCTCTTTTTTATAGATTTTTAACGATTGAACTATAGTCATATTGATCAGGATATTTGTATCTTTCTTATAGTTTAAAAGTTCAAATCATATATTGGATTATAAAAAGAATCATTTTCGATGTGCTTACATAAGCATAGTTCAATCGTAAATGTAAAGGATATACATTATTTCTTTTGAGGTCAGAAGATTAAATATTAGGTTGGGTTATATTGAGTCTAAATAAATTAAAATTATATAGGTTGGTTTAGTGATTCACATAATTAAATTTAGTTTGAACCTAACTAACTCAAACATATTACATAATCAATTAACCTTAACGATTTTTTTAAAAGTTGTGGTGGGTGAGTTATCAAAAATTTAGTCGTTTATAGATATTACTACGGTTGTCACTACAATGAACAAAAGTTAAAGTACATAAATCAAAATAATATTTTAATTTAGTTTAATCTTGATTTGTCTATTTTCCTTTTTAACGAGGCATGAGATTCGAACTTACGACCTATTTGTAAAAAACAAATGCCAATGAGCAATGTGAAATTAGAAGATCTAAAATTACGTGGGTTAAATTGAAAGAATAAATATAGAGTTTGTAATCATGCAAGAGGGAATTTTGTAATTTAAGTGAAAAAGTAAAGTTAAAAGAAAAAAAGAGTAGGCATATATTAGTTTAGTGGAGCGCGTGGAGGAATGAAGACACGCGCCATAGGGGTCGCGCGTGGGAAAAGGATCTCTGAGGCACGTAGCTGTATCGAAATATTTACACAATCACTTCGGGAAACGGTAGTACGAATGACGGCCTCGCTCTCTCTCTCCAGTGTCTCTTCACCGCCGTTTATTTCTCTCTCTTTCCTTTTTTTTTTCCAAAAATGAAAAAAGAAAAACAAATCTGTTTCTCTCTCTATCTCCAGCATGGCCTGTCCTCGCTCTGTGGGTTTCACACAAATAACACTCCCTCCATGTAGCTTTCTGTTCTCTCCCTTCATAAATTTCTCGCCCACCCTTCTCCTTCCTCTTCTTCTTCTTCTTCACAGCACCAAAACCCTCTCTCTCTCAGTTTGGCTTCTGGGTTTTTGAAGAAATGAAGGATCTCGCCTTCCTTCAATGGCGGAACCTCCTCCTTCTTTTGTTACTCCTCGTTCTTTCCTCTCTTCGTTGTTCCCCAGCTTCGCTCCCTCCCGATCAAGGTTTTCTTTTCCTTTCCCTTTCCGCATTCGCCATTTTTTGTTTTCTTTCACTGTTCTGGGGTGTCTTGACGTGGGACTTCAAGCCGTTGCAACTATTCCTTCCTTTTGGCTTTTCGCGCTTTTTTAATTTTACTTATCTCGTTGTTGTGTTTCACTTTTTGAGTATTTTATTCGGGTTTTTGGGTTCTCATTTTTTCGACAGCTCGAGCGCTTATGTTGATCAAGGCCTCGTTTAGTAATGTAGCCAACGTGTTGCTGGACTGGGATGATGTTCATGGGGATGATTTCTGCTCATGGCGTGGGGTTTTCTGCGATAATGTTAGCCTTTCTGTTGCTGCTCTGTGAGTTTTCCACTTTGTTCCTCTGTTTCCTCTGTTTTCAGTTGATGGGTTTTTTCTTATCTTCGTGTTCGTTTCTGGGTTTGAAGGAACTTGTCCAACTTGAATCTGGGTGGGGAGATTTCACCGGCCATTGGAGATTTGAGGAACTTACAGTCAATGTACGGCATTACCAGTTTCATGTATCGCTCTCTTCGCTTATTCGATGGCTTAACACGGTTGTTTGGCTTGTTTTTTTGGTTTGTTTTGGCAGAGACTTTCAAGGGAATAAACTAACGGGCCAAATCCCAGATGAGATTGGTAACTGTGGTCTTCTCGTCCATCTGTAAGAGTTTTCTTTTATTTATTGCTTCCATATTTAAATTAAAGTTAGTTGAAAGTGGCCTATCCACAGCATTACTTGACCTCTCGTAATACAGGGACTTGTCTGATAATTTGCTTTTTGGAGACATCCCCTTCACGGTATCGAAGCTGAAGCAGCTTGAGTTTTTGTAAGTTTTAACTCAATGCAGCTTTTCTACTTAGTTTTGTCTTTTTTCCACTCAGTTTTGTTAATTATAGCGTTTTGGATGTTGAACTATTTCTTCTCCTCGTTGCAGAAATCTGAAGAACAATCAGTTGACCGGTCCGATCCCTTCGACCCTTACCCAGATTCCGAATCTGAAAACGCTGTAAGCACTTCTCTTACTCCTTCACTTCACTTTAAAATCTCTTGCGAGTTTTGTTATAGTGTTAACTAGGTTTTTTTCTTCGTTCATATGGGATTTGTTGTTGGAGTGCAGTGCTGGGAATTATTAGTCTAATGCTTCGATTATTCATTCGGTTTCTCTAGTTTTCTTATTTGGTGATATTATCCACTGCAGTGATCTTGCACGGAATCAACTTACTGGGGAGATACCTCGATTAATCTATTGGAATGAAGTACTGCAATATCTGTAAATACCACTTCACTCAAGTTTCTTCGACATTTAAGCTACGATGGCCATTCTGTTAGCAGTTAAACTTTTATTTTGTTTTATTGTTTGGCAGTGGGTTGCGAGGGAACTTTTTGACGGGTTCGCTGTCCTCTGATATGTGCCAATTGACTGGCTTGTGGTACTTGTAAGTGTGATATGATATTCTAATTAATCTGGGGGTTATTTCTTCATATTTTCATAACTGTTGTGCTCTGGTGTTGCTTTTCTTATGTTCAGTGATGTAAGGGGCAATAATCTGACTGGCCCGATACCGGAGAGCATAGGGAACTGTACGAGTTTTGAAATTCTGTATGTTTTTCGACTGATTTTTCTTTGGTGTATGTTTCATTGTTTCTTCACAAAAATCAGTTGTGATATCTTGATTGGCGTTTCTTGTTCATCTCAGGGATATATCCTACAATCAGATCTCAGGGGAGATTCCGTACAACATTGGATTTCTACAAGTGGCTACGTTGTAAGATTTCTTTAAACTTGTGTGTGATTTTAAATACGTCAGAAGAACTCTCTCCTGCTCTCCTGCCTTCTTAATCAGTTGTATATGCTCCTTGTTGTAGATCACTACAGGGAAATAGGCTTACTGGTAAGATTCCCGACGTCATTGGATTGATGCAGGCCCTCGCTGTCCTGTAAGTGAAGTTTGAAATATAATTTATAGTTTCGTGGTTTGGTTGATAAATGTAAGGAATTCTTGGTGCATTCATGTCATTGTATTATTCTTTTCTTCTACCTTGGACCAGGGATTTGAGTGAGAACGAGCTTGAAGGGCCAATACCACCAATACTTGGCAACTTGTCCTACACTGGAAAATTGTGAGTTTTCCTTCAGAATGCAAAGTTCTGAGATTTACGATTGGTGCCTCATGGTCTATTCTATTGGTTAGGTACCTGCACGGGAACAAGTTGACCGGGCCAATTCCTCCAGAGCTGGGCAATATGTCAAAGCTTAGCTACTTGTATGCTCATGTTGCTGCAAATAGAAGTTTTTTTTTTCCTTATACAAACATCAGTAACTAAATGTAACATTTTACAGGCAATTAAATGACAATCAGCTGATTGGCACAATTCCTTCTGAACTTGGAAAGTTGGATCAATTGTTCGAACTGTGAGTTATATTATTTAGTTTTGGATCGTTCATAACAGTGAAGTCTCAACTGTCTATTAATTCCATTACACATTTTCTAACTTCTGATTTCAAAGCTCTTGGTCCCTTACTGTGTTAATTTGTGATGATGATATTGGTATTCATCTACTCAGGAATCTTGCTAATAATTACCTTGAAGGACCCATCCCTCACAACATCAGCTCTTGCACTGCATTGAACCAATTGTAAGATACCTACTGCTTATCATTCACATTCCATAAGTTTCCATATATTATGTGTGTTATTTTGATTCATATTTCTTCCTGAAAGCAATGTGCATGGCAACCGTCTTAACGGGTCCATTCCTTTGGGTTTCCAAGATCTGGAGAGTTTGACCTATTTGTAAGTGTTTCGAAGCATGAGTTCATCTATTGGTATTACATAATTCAATTGGGGAAGAATTAGTCTAATGAACTTGCTTGGTTACAGGAATCTTTCGGCAAACAACTTCAAAGGCAGGATTCCTGTTGAGCTCGGACGCATAGTTAACCTCGATACCTTGTAAGTTTACTTCAAATAATCATCATTTACTGTTTTGTTCATCATAGATGTTTCTATCATAGTGAACGTCATTTTGTTTGTCTTCAAATTTGTTGTATGTCTTGCAGGGATCTATCTCGCAACTACTTTTCGGGTCCTGTTCCTGCATCTATTGGCAATTTGGAACACCTTCTTAGCCTGTAGGACTGTTTCATCTGAACTATTTATTAAATCGTAGTTTAAGTGATGTTTTTAATATGAAATTACTTGCAGCAATTTGAGTGGCAACCGACTTGTTGGGTCATTGCCAGCAGAATTTGGGAATCTCCGAAGCATTCAGACTATGTAAGGATTATGAGTGTTGAGTTTGTTCCAAGTATTATGCTAGTCTTATGAAATCTGTCTGTTAAACTCTGACTTCCTGGTTTCGATAGTGATATGTCATTCAACAACTTCTCCGGTAGCATACCCATTGAGTTGGGTCAACTGCAGAATATTATCTCCCTGTACGTTTCCCAGTACTCTAAGATGCTATTTCCTTTCCTTTCAAATTCCTTTTATCTAATTTTTTTTTTCTTTCACTGCCATTCCTAGAATTTTGAACAACAACAATTTGCAAGGGAGGATACCTGATCAGCTGACAAATTGTTTCGGTCTTGCCAATTTGTAAGTTCTGTTTTATTCTTCATCAAGAATGTACATTAGTGCTTTCTCAACTTCTGATTCATCTTGCTTGTACTTCTTATTTAGGAACTTGTCATACAACAACTTATCCGGAATCTTGCCTCCCATGAAAAATTTCTCTCGATTCGAACCAGATAGGTAACAAGAAGTGCTTGGTTTGATTGGTCAGTTATGTGTTTCTTGAAGTCACTGCTGTTGATATCTTCTTTATTTGACGATTGATAACTTTGCATCAGCTTTATTGGTAATCCGCTGCTATGTGGCAACTGGCTGGGATCGATCTGTGGGCCTTATATTGAAAAATCTCGAGGTACTTTACAAATACAGATGGCATTGGTCTTTTTTATGACTTGACATCATGAGCGGTTCATGCTGATTGAGTTGATGTATTTTGCAGCAATGTTGTCTCGGACAGCAGTTGTTTGTATGACGTTCGGCTTCATTATTTTGCTGTCGATGGTTATAATTGCCGTGTACAAGTCGAATCCATCGAAGCAATTGTTGAAAAGTTCTAGCAAGACTGGGCAAGGCAAGCTTTTGCTTCTGTGTTTCACTTATTTTTCTGAGCTATTCCTTCTGATTGGCGATGATGATCCAGTCATTCTTGTGTTTCAGGTCCCCCAAATCTTGTGGTACTTCACATGGATATGGCTATTCACACCTTCGACGACATTATGAGAACCACGGAGAATCTAAGCGAGAAGTACATTATCGGTTACGGAGCTTCGAGCACTGTGTACAAATGTGTACTGAAGAATTCCCGACCTATTGCAGTTAAGCGACTTTACAACCATTATGCACACAATTTACGGGAGTTTGAGACCGAACTCGAAACCATTGGTAGTATCAGACATAGAAATCTTGTTAGCCTTCATGGTTATTCATTATCTCCCTGTGGGAATCTCCTCTTCTATGACTACATGGAAAATGGTTCTCTCTGGGATCTGCTTCATGGTAAGCATTCGCTCCCTTGACTTGAACCACTCGGTTTTAGCTAAGCTTTAACAGTTTCTGTAATTTGCTTCGCTTAAAATCATCAGGACCAGGAAAGAAGGTTAAACTGGATTGGGAAGCCCGTCTGAAGATTGCGGTTGGAGCTGCGCAAGGGCTTGCATATCTTCACCATGATTGCAACCCACGAATCATTCACCGGGATGTTAAGTCTTCGAATATTCTGTTGGATGAAAACTTTGAGGCCCATCTTTCTGATTTTGGGATCGCTAAAAGTATCCCAACTGCCAAAACCCATGCGTCGACTTATGTGCTTGGAACGATTGGCTACATTGATCCAGAGTATGCTCGGACGTCCCGACTCAATGAGAAGTCTGATGTTTATAGCTTCGGCATTGTTCTTCTGGAACTACTAACTGGGAAGAAAGCTGTGGATAATGAGTCCAATCTGCACCAACTGGTTTGTTCATATCAAATCATTTCTAAACATCCATTCACTTTCATCTCTGTTTCTGAATTTATTTTCCTCTCCATGAACTGCCAGATATTATCCAAGACTGATAACAACACTGTGATGGAGGCTGTCGATCCCGAAGTTTCGGTAACCTGCATGGATTTAGCCCATGTCCGAAAGACGTTCCAGCTTGCTCTCCTCTGCACAAAACACAATCCCTCCGAACGGCCAACCATGCACGAAGTTGCACGAGTGTTGATATCCCTCCAGCCACTGCCACCTACCACAAAACAGACTTTGTTCCCCACGAAAACGTTGGATTATGCACAATTCGTGATCGACAAGGGTCAGAATCAGAACGCGAAAGGGCAGGAGGAGCAGCAGAAAGCAGAAACGGATGTGAATTCTTCGGATGCTCGGTGGTTTGTTCGGTTCGGGGAAGTTATGTCTGAACAACACAGTTTGAACCAATAACACTGTTGTATTAACCATGCCTTTAGAAATGCATACAGAAGAAAAGGGGTGCAAGAAATTGTGTAGTTTTGGAAATTGTGGTTTGCAGTTTAGATATAGTAGGCCTTTCTGATTGCAGCTGTAAAATGTACTCAGTTTAATCAGCAATATGAAATATTTGTATGAACATCAACCAAATTAACTGTGTCATAATCTTCCTGCTTTACACAACTTTTCTTAAGCAAGAATTTCATTTTTTCTTTTACAAGATCTTAAATATCCTCATAAGTTCTAATTTCAAAAGCTTAGTATTAATAATTGAAGAAGGTTGAGATTCAAAGGATGAACACATCTTTTCTTTTAATTATCTCAAACAAATATACACTTTTTAGTTAGTATTATTATTATTTTTTAAAATTGTTAAGCGTGTCCCAATGCATCTAAACTTTTTAGTCTTTAGATGGCAACTAGGGAATAAAAATAAAACTCTGAACAGTTCACCCTACAATGAAGGACTTTGATTTCTGTATAATTTAGAAATCAAACATGGGATCGGGGTTAAATTAAAAAGAAAAAAGTTAACAGTAACATATCTACCTTTGAAGATTCTTAACATGGACAAGTTTAGAGAGATTCTATTTGGAAAAATCTCAAAATTAATTAAATTAGGCTCTTAGACTAAGGATCAGCGTACTAATTTACGTTGCAGGGATGATCAATCATAGTTGAAAAATCGAGCTGATCAATTGAAGCTGACTGAACCGAAGGCAGTTTTTCGATTTTAAAGTAACATGGTCATTGGTCGGTCGATCGGTCCTCCGAGATCAAATGGAAAACCGACCAAACGAACTAATATTAAAAGAACCAAAACTGACCGATCGAACGTCAAGTCGATTTTTTTCCATTGATTATAGAGCTCACGCTTCTTTACTTGAGAAACCCCAACTAACGAACATAATAAGTATTTGACTTGATTATGTTTCCAAAACAGTAGGTTTATTGGGCAAATACTTTGGTTACCTATAATCATATAAATCAACGAACATACTTGCATAGACAAGAGTTTATAACACATTTAGATAAATATTAAATGAGTATATAATCATTATAGTGATGAGTTTGCAATGTAACGATCTTACAAGAAACTACAAGCACATCGCAGTCTAGTTGTATACAAACTTATGGTATATGATACTCTCCCTCACAAGTTTCCACATGAATGATTAGGAACAAACCACATTGTTACTAGGATAAGGCACCAAACCTTATCCATATACGGTAACATTTTTAAGTTACTATTTGAAAATAGTACTTTTGTATGTCAACTACATACGGTTCAAAATTGCATTAGTAATCTTGGATTCATATACATTGTACCAAGGTTTTAAATGTCAATGTCGAGGTCTCAATTTCATAGAAACATGGTAAAATGTCAATAGATATTTTTGTAAAAGTTAAAGAAATTAAAAAATTGTAAAAATAGTTAAATTAACAAATAAATATTTTTCTATTTCTAATTAAGCTAAAAATGGTTAATATTAATATTATATATATATATATATATATTTATTTGTGACATTTTGTTGATATTTTTCATATCGTGTCGATTTTTTTGTAATATAATGGAAATGTCGGTTTACCCCTCATGTCGATGTCGAACCCATAGATATATAAAAATGTCAACGTATCGAAGAATATTTAATACCATGCAACTATTACCCGTGTCAATTCCTAGGATTCGTTTATTATTTTTTTAATACATCAAATGTGGGATGACTTATATGAAATTATGTAAATTTGTAGGATGGACTTTTATCATTAATGATGTATATATTACTAATATACATCTATGACTTATATGTATCACTAATATTTTTATTATTGATAGATCAAAAAATATTTATAAACTGCAAATTGAAATATGTTGATAGCTATTTTTGACTTTTTTTAACACTTACATGTAATCGTCCCAAAATGAAAATTACTTATCTTTAGTTTTGGAATCACCTCGAGGAGAATCTCCCAAAAATTTAAAAGCTTTTGTTTGCGCACATTTTGACAATACACCAAATGCATTTGAGATTTCAGATGAATGGACCCACCTTGTTTACTCGAAGATTTATGTTATTTTGAGTTGTTATTATGTTTTTGTTATGTATGTTGAAAAAAAATTATTATTGATAGATGGAGAAACATACATAAACTGCAAAGTTGAAATATGTTGACAAAGTCTTTCTGACTTTTTCTTTAGAATTATGTGTAATTGTCCCAAATGGACCAAAGGAAACCAAATAAAAAAAAAAATAAAAAAAGAAAACTAGATCAGATCGAAACCAAGTCTAAATAATATGAATTGAAAAAAATTTAAAACTATGGAGTTGGAGTTGAAAACGATCCTAAAAACAATATGGATTAAATTGTAATTTAATATATGGTTTTTTTTTGTTTTTTTTTTTTTAATTTTGAATAGCAGTTGTGTGATTGTGACTGGCCATGTATTTCCGGTGATGGGGCCCACCAATTTAAAACTAGAAAAACTGAGCTCTCGCGCATTTGGCACCTTATGAAGTGCCCGCCACCATTTCGGTTTCTGGTTCCTTCCTTCCTTCCGTGGCTCGCCCTCGCCGCCGAAACCAGACTCGGCCGCCGGCTACTTCCACTCCACATGATTCCCTTCCGGTTGCTCTTTCTCGCCGCCTCATTTTCCGACGAAAATCACACGTCCTGATTTTCAATCGATTGTTTATTTTTCCTGCACGATCACCGCAGTTTAATGTTTGGGCCCAGTTTTGGAGCGAATGTCCGGAGACTTTTCTCGCGGACGCTCCCGAGGACGGCGAAGAGAATGGAAATGATGGAATGTCGTACAAGTATTTGTTGTTTATTGTATTGTTTGGGTTGCGTGTTTCTGTGAAGAGAAATCCTGGTGGTCCATTCGTCGTTTACAGGGAATTTCACGAAACGGGAGCAGCAGCGTCAATGTCCATGGATTTCTTCTGATTTTGTCGCGTTTAACGTTCATACTAAGGCGCTGATCATATCGAGAAAGAGATGGAGACGGATGGAGAAATGGATGAGGTTGCCGAGCCATTTTTTGGCGGCGAAATTGATTTCGATTACGAGTTTGATGCCGCCATGTATTACGATTTCACTCGACCCGAGACAAAGCAGGAGACCAGGGAGGCCGAGGATTGGTTCAAATTTGCTGGAAGCTATCCACCTTCTCGTAAGCACTTACTTTTGGTGTCGTCTTTCTGGCGACAAAATTTCGTTTTCTTATTCTTCGAGCTTTCGATTTTCTTGGATATCTGTTATAAATGTTCGAGTTATGGAATTATTCTGTTCTGGAGAATTGATTACTGACGACAACACTTTCTCTTGGAATATTTATTAATGCGTTATGGTTATCATGGGTATAGAATCAATTTATTTTGCAGATTAGATCAAAATCTAATTGCTCTTTCATGTTAATTCTTATGGTATGAATTTTTTTTCCGTCTTTTAGCATTCGTCGTGAAATTGAATCGGGAAGAAGAGTTCCAAGCAGAGCTCACCTCTATAAAACTAAAAGATATTCAGGAAATCCAGGAAGACTCTGAAACTTCTGAGATAAATGAGAATAACTCAGGTATAGTGTGCATTTCTTCTTCTATTGGTTCAGTTGGATTCAACCTCGTCAATATGTCGTGCTGGAAGTATGGTTAATGATGAATATGCTGGTGAAAAAATATCAAATTATATACCTTATGGTGTGGCTGAAAAATGCCCTCGCCCCAACGTTGAAAAAATTTAAAATCCATATAACTGATAGTTAGTTATTCGTCCTCGATGGTCATGGCATTTCGAATCTTTTTGATTTCTTTTGTTCAAACAAGTTATATGAATGGTGTGATCTCCCTAAAAGGATTCGATTACTATCATGGTGTATAAGGCCCAAGTATTTGTTTCGGTATGGTTCGCAGGGGTGGGGTTTTGCATATTTTCTCATCTAGGTGGCTATTCCAGACCAAAGGTTTGGTTCTTTTTTGTGGGATAGATGTGTGTTGCAGTTTTTCTCCCATTTGAGATTTGAGATGGTATTAACGAAAAAAGTTAGTTGCAGATTATTCTTGCTGTTCCAATTCATTGATTAGAATTATACTACTGTCTGGAAGTTCCCATCCTGCTTATTTACCTCTTCCTTCTTGGAAAATAATTGCTCCAAATATCTTCATACCTCTAACTCCCGTCCTGATCATATCTGGCTCCGGATAATGTAGGAGTTAATATGAAGTTCAGTGTGAAGGCCGATCTACGACGGAGTTCAACTTTAATGAAACCAACTGCAAGTTATTTGGCCAAGCAAAACCAACCTCGAGGGATACACTCCGTTCCGCCTCTGCGAAGGTGATGACCATATCTAAAAATACTTCTTTGATTGACATTAATGATGTTTTCAGTCTCTATAATGTTTACTGTGGAGATATGATGGGGCCATTTCCCAGTCCACCCATGAAGGTGGGTTAAACCAGCATAGTGTGTAATAGTTGTTGCTCATTCAATCTTCGGGAACGTGTTCTGGAGAAAGAAGGGCTCTGTGAGCTCTTTAAATTATCTTCTACGTGATCGTTATTTATTTCTAGTGTTTATTTTATGTTTTCTTCAATTTTATACTCATTTTATTTATTTTTATTTTTTTTAGATTTCAGTTCAGCTTGGGTGATAGTATGGAGATCAGTTCTACGCGTTCTTCATTGAATGTTAGTCATGCTACCAAAAGGCAAAAGTTGGAGGATGGTTATTTTTGCAATGTGTGTGGAAACTTTTATTTCAACATTTATTTATTTTTTAATTGGCATTCTACTGGTCTCCTAGGGATGTTTGTCTTTATGGGGGAAGGGAATGAAACATTAGTTTTTGTACATGAGAAGACATAGTAAACCTCATCTGTTAAAATCAAATATTCTTTCTAATACTGTGATGATCCTTTCTTTGTAAGTTACAGAGGTTTTGAAACCCATTCTTTGAGATGGGTTAATTACCTCTTTAGTCAGAATTATTATTTTCTGTTTCACGTGAGTTATTACATAGTACTGATAACTTTTCTAATGTTATTTGAAGATGCTGTTAAGGATACTAAATGGGATTCTAGAGTGTTGTCCAATCTCCAAAACTGTTGTATTTTCTGATTGCCTAATGCTTCCATCAAATCTGGTTATTGCTTCTTTGTTTCATCTCCCATTTTGTGACATCATATGAAGCTGGTTTGAGTAGTTTGATTACTTTTATCTTGGAATTTGTTTTTGCTATTTTATTGCAATTCAAACATTTCAGAAAGCAATCAATTCAAAGAGGCCAGTAATGAATAGCACCTATTACCAATTTTCTGAGTCATTGCTTTTGCCTAACATATTAAAAAAAGAAAGATAAGAAAGAGAGACAAAACAGGGAGGGAGTGAGCTGGAATTATTTATATTTAAGCTGCTTTTGCAGAACTTGCAGCCATTTGCAAACGCTTCTGTCTATCTAACGTGTAGAGTGAGTCCATTGGTATCCTAAGGTTTAAAGTAATTTATAACTTCTTTGCAGGTCCCACATTTGAGGCGGCAGACAAGTTTGCTACACAAGGTACCTAAAAAGGTAACCGATGTGTACCTGGAAACTGGAATTGTTACTAATAGTTCATCGGAATTAATTTACTATTCATCTTCGTTCAATATATCATATTTATGCTTATACACAAGCTTATGATTTCGGTGGTATAATTTCTGTTTTTAGTTCGTTCATTTACTAGAATTTAACCCTTATTGCTGCAGGTTGTACATTCAGAAGTTAATCCTGCTGTTACCAGAATTAAATCTACCATACCTAAAGAGCCCAACCTTGAGACAGCGAATAGAGCACAAAGATACAGGTACTCAGCTTTATTTGAAAACAAAAAGTGATCTCTTCTCAAACTCATTCAAAATACTATAATTTGTGCTCCGAGCTGATGCATCATGTTGCAAGTTCTGAAATTCAGGTCTAAAATCAACACAGTAGCAAGTGAACATAACCAATCAAATGTCTCTAACTTTAAAGCACGCCCGCTGAACCGAAAAGTTAGTATTTTTGTGACTGACACAATTTCTTTTACTTCAGATGTTATTCATAATAAATGCATTACATAGTTCGTATGATCTTATAACACTGTTTCGGCTTTGCAGATCCTCGAGGCTCCTACTTTGCTCCCACCAAAGAAGAGCATACCACAAATGCCCGAATTTCAAGTAATTTGTTTTAGCATGTATTATTTTTATTTTTTGTGCTGATTTTTGTACCAGCACCATGATGAATTTTTATTGTATTTTAATCAAGGGTAATGGTTAAGTATTCTGCACCATAATTTTACCTACAGCTTTTGTTTGATTGTTTTAGGTGTTTCACCTGAAGACATCAGAGAGGGCCCTACAGCAAACATATAATGTAAGCCATCAAACTATATTTTACAGTTTACTGTTTTACTGACAGTAACCATTTATATGTGTAAATATTTCATCCTACGAGTAAGTTGGTATGTTTAATGTAATAGAACCATCTTGGTTGAGTCGATGTCATCTATTTTGTAAAAAATATGAAATTTGTATGTTTCTCGTCTAAATGTTACAAAATTTCTTGCAGTGCGAGACTCCAATAGACTTATATCTATTTTGTTTATAAGTTTCTATGGGGCATCCAATACCTCTTCCTCATTTCATGTTTGCCAAATATTTTTTTCTTAACTCGAGACCCTTCCAAATTGCAGGTTGTAAATAATCCTTATGTATCTACTTCACGAAATGAAAACAAGTGCACAAGAAGGTAATTGAGGTAGACTTTTGATTCATCATGTAAAAGGCTTTTACTCTGAAGATTTAATTAATGACTATAATTTAGTAACTATGAAGCATATTTGCATTGCTTTGAGACCATACAGTGTTATTTATTGGTGATCCTATTAGTTGTATGCATATTCTATATGTAACAGTTTGTTTTTCATTGTTAACTTTGATCTAGAGATACCCATATTTGAGTATTAAATAAAATTTCCTATTTAAACTCTTCTTCCACAGTCTAAGGATTTTATGTAAGCATTTGACTGTAATTAATTTTAGTTACCTTGGTTTGAATAATTATCATTTGCATTACTTAAAACTGGCGGTGATTTGTATTGGTAAGGTTAGTTATGTTAGTTATTGCTTAATTTGTAAATAGCTCCCACCTGGTAGCCTATAAAATGGCTGAGATGTATTCATTTGAAACAATCAATTAAAAATCCATAATTCCTCTGTGCATCAAGTTGGTGCAAAGCAATGTATTGAATCAAAATGTGATGGTGTCAAGTAGGAATCTTTTAGAATAAACAAGTTGGGGAGAAAAGGGGGAGTCAGGCAAACTTGTCGAGAGAACGGGTGGTTTAACATTCTCTCCATCTCTCTCTCTAGCTTCTTCTTTTCATGCTAGATTTTGCAGATATTAGTTATTTTCTTCCTCCTGTTGTTATCTTTCGATTGGTTTTTAGCAGCTTCAATGGAATGAAGTTGCTTCGTTCAAAATAAGTCTTCTTTATTTCACCTTCTTAGGATTCTGATTAGCTTCTCATTAATATGATTAATATTGAAGAAAAAAGAAAGCTTAGCCCCTTTTATATCCATTTAGAAAAGGTTTCGATTGGTTGCACAGTCTTTATCTTCATCTACTAACATTGGGCTGCAAAACAGATTCGTATTTGAAACTTGTACCTAGATGTGAGGTTTTTTATAAACATCACAGTCATCTGTAGATGGTGTGTTTCTAGAAGATGCAAAACGTAGTTTCATGTTTGAGTTTTGAGTCAAAATATGGAGCTATGACATAGTCTATATGTGAACTAATATGAACATGTTGACTTCAGTATCACAGTTCATCATCATATTGCCCTTCAAATTGTATCTAATCGAGTATTTTATGAGGTAGAACAAAAATATTGAAGTTGATTGTTTTTTATTTTTGAGAAGATACAACCAAATTTGGTGTGCATAGGATATAAGAGTGACCTGGAGAAATATTGATAGACCTCTTGTCCTTAAGGTCTACTTTCATAAGGCTATTGCTTATATTCAATGTCGCTTACCATTTAATGAGCAAACCTTTAAACTAGGCACTTTGATTCTAGAGGTGGAATTTGCATGCATTTTTTTTCTAATTAGTTGCCACTGAATGCTCCTGGACTTGAAAATCTACAAGTATTTTCACTTGTTTTTTTTTTCTTTTTGTTAATTCACTAGTAGTTGTTACTCATGTAGTCATGTTTTTGTCGCGTATTCTTAATATTGTTGCTATGCTCGTGTTCAACAGACCAAATTCTCTCCACAACACGAAACAAGAAAAATGTATAAAAGCTGAAACATGTAAAAATCGGCCACTCGATAAGGTTTGTAAAATTCATAACACGCGAAACCTTTATTTCCTTAACATTTGGCATTTACTGAGTTCTATTGTGCTTCATACAGATACTCTCACATAATGAAGAATGTGATGTCTTTGTGAATTGGAAAGATGGAACAACTGTCTCGAAGGTGAGCGTCATTCACCCCATATACTTTACATATACAAATATAAATATTCATCGTCACCACTTAAATCGTATCTCGATAACACCTTAACTTCATGTTTATTCTATTTTATTTATGGATTATCTTAGGGATTTAGTTGCCAAAAGATCAAATGAGGTCTTCAAACGAGCTACCAACTGAATTACTTTCATGTTTATTGTATTTTATTTATGGATTATTCTAGGAATTTAGTTGTTGTCCAGATCAAAAGAGATCTTCAGACGAGCTACCAACTGAATTACTTAACCAGGTACCAAAAATTGTGCAAACCTCAAGTTCTCTTTCATCTTATATGATTTATGACCATGTGCTATAAAAGAATATCTTGATACTAACTTGTTCTTTCCATGACTGAGAATGTGTTTCTACATAATTTCAGCTCTCCCTTTCATCGGATTGTCATTGGCGTAACGCAAAATCTCACTGCAAAGTGCATTTGCCGAACAATGTTAGCGTCTTTCATCATCTTCACTTGATTATTACTCATAACATGTTATTGATATACTCATAATAGTTGTTCACATTTCTGGTTATGTTAGTGCTCGAAAGAGAATGTCCCAGGCTTCCTTGATCAAGAGCATGAGGTATACTAGAAATATTTTTAGTAGAGTTCAGTGTCCTTTTATTCTCTTCTCATCATCACATTATATTCAAGTTGTAGGTCACTAATATGCTTTTGGCATAATTTGCGGTGTCTTTTCGCCAAGTGAAGACCAAACGATGAGCCCGAGATGAGCGACTTTACTCTACAGGTAACCACATGTTCCGTTCTTGTGTTTTTCAGCGTCTCATGTTTCTTATCAGGGTGGATCTGCATACCTTCTTCTACTTTAACCACTTTTTTATTTCCACCACCACCACAAATATGCTTTTTTTTTCTCTTTGTTTTTGTTTTTATTTTTTATCAAACACGATAGCTTTTTTATACTGACCATTCAAATTAGATGAGTTTGGTATATCTTTTAATTTAAACATTTTTTACACTTTTTTATGAGTAAATTACAAGAATCTCAATCACTTTAAAATAATCTTTTTTGGATAATTATTCTCAAGTTTAAAGTAATCTGATTGTTTTAGAATGTTTTTTATTTCTCGTTTCAAATTTTCCTAATTCACTCACTAATTTTAGCATAAAGTAATATAAAGATCTTCAAAAGTTGCATTTTCTTGGAATTGATAGAATAAAAAAAACCATTTTACTTTTTTTATTTTTATTTTTAATTTCCAAAGTAACTCTAATCAACTAGCATTATTTTGGTGTGAATTTCAATGAATCACATTCACATAAAATGAAGTTTGATCAAAAGATCGACCTTTGAATAACTTTGTTAAGACTTACATGTTTAAAAGTTAGTTCTAATGTTGTTTTTCTCTAAAATTCTATCAATTTCGTATTAGATATGCTCATGAAAATATATTTTTAGTGATATTTCAAATGAAAATTTATTAAAAGGTAAAAAAAATAGCAATATTTTTCAAGTTTAATATAAAAATTGTAACATTTATATAGGTTTAAGGTGGAATTGATAAAATTGAAAGTGTTAAAATGATAAAATTTTGACACACCTAGCCTAATTCATGGTAGATATTGATTTTCTAATATAAATATTATTTATTTTATTCATGTTATGATTATAAATGTAATTTTTAAAATATGAAATTAGGACAGCTAAATTAATGTTACAAATGCCTTTTCAACGAATAATACGAATACTTTTTAAAAATTTCCTTATCTCATCAAAGACACAAATATATAATAATTTTTATTTTTTGAAGGTTATGTAACAAAATTTAAATAAATATATTTTTAGAAATGTTACACGCAAAATACATTTCAACAAATTTTAAAAAAAATTTCAAAGCTGTTCTATTATAATATTTTGTTACCTTGAGATTTAGATAGATACCTAGAAAAAGGAAAAGAACTCTTGAAATTCTTTTTGGCAACATTCTAGTCATATATGTGCTTTAATGAATGCTTGAACACCCAAATTCATTTCTATTATCTTTTATTATTATTATTATCATCATTACTTTTTAACCCAAAAGTTTTAATTTATGTTTGGAAATAATCTTTAGAAATCCATCCACAATCTATGAATAGTTTTATATATAGAAAACAAACATTTTAGATTGAATAAGATTTTAAGTTTTTCCCCTTACAGAAAAAAAAATATTAAAGTTTGCTGTATATAAAATTATAGTTGAGTTAGTCATGCCAAATCATTTGTTTTCATATCTATCTTTCCCTTCAACAAATTATTACTTTTTAGCATGTTAAATGCAATATTGATTGTTTTTTTCGTAAGTATCTTTTTGTACTAAATTTAAATATGTCTAGGGAAATAGAAACTTAAATATGAAAAAGCTTTTAATATAAATGAACTAAATCAATATAAAAAAAATCCTTATAAATTTGTTACAAGAGGTAAACATAACTGTTTTATACTATTTTTTTTAGTACAATATGTTGGAGATCAGATTCGAACTCTTAACCTCTTGGTTGGAGATATATTGCCAGTATATGCCAATTACCGCTAGTTATACTTGCTTTGGCACTTTATGCTATTTTTATAACATTACCACATAGTCGTGGAAAAATACAATTCGTAAATTTTGTTTGTTTGTTTGTTTTTTTTAAAAGTTGGGAACACATGATATTAAATAAAATTGGTTAAATTACTAATTCGGTCATGGTGTGGACAAAGTTTCAATTTGGTACTTTTTTGGTTTTAAAAATTTCAATTTGGTACCTATGGTTTAATCAAATTTCACAAGTCGTCCTGACATTTTTTTTTACAAAAAAGTTCCATTTGGGTAATTGTGTTAGGATTCAGGACCGAGTAAAAAATATAAGAAAGTAGATTAGTTTTTCAAGTAGTTAAAATAAAATTTAAGGATAATTTATGAAACCAAATTACAGGGACGGAATTGAAAATTTTAAAACTAGTAAATCAAATTGAAAGTAGATCTAAACTATGGCAATTAAATGATTGATATTTTTATTGTTATTATTATTATTTTATTAATGGTTTGCTTACAAAATATTACATTCTCGATGCAGTTTCTTCATTCTTCATTAGCTCACAGATGGCTACTTCTGGCGACACATGACATGAGGGTTAGCCTTTTTTTTGTTGAGGTATTTTATGTATCGAGTTTTCTAAATTTATCAAAAGAAAATTAAAATACATAACTTTTCCTTCTCCTAAATATCTATAAATATGTATTTTTTTTTATAAAAGTAATTATAAATAACATTTTCAAAAAGGTATTATAAATACATTTTTCTTTTAAGTTATCAATATATCACTAGCTTTCATAAGGGCAATTATTATGTTTTTTCTTTATGTTTTAGTTTTCATTTATTTAATCAAGTCTTTTACTTTTTGGTTATATGTTTACAATTATAAAAGCTACTATTGTTATCATATTTTATTTTAATGAATCTTAACTTGCAGTTACATTTTGATCAAAAGTTGGCTTGGGTTTTGAAAATATTTGTATGTGGTAGTTTTTAGAAACACGGTTATATTATATTCTTTAAAAAAAAAGGTTAAATTATATTGAAACTCAAATTTTGTGGTTGGAAAAAAAAATTCGGAAGAGTAGAGCATTTACAGAAATGACAGAATAATATAATTGTGTAATTTCAAATAAAATTTTTATTGAAATACCATAATTTATATTACCACTAATTTGAATGTATCTTTTTTTTTTAGGTACAATAAATATATATATATATATATCTATTTTTTTTTTTAGCATAAGTGTGACTTTCATTTTTAGAATAAATATTTATGTAAGCTAATAAAAAATAAAATTGAAGATTGTATTTATAGCGATGGTTATAATTGAACACACAAACAAAGTGATTGACATCCACCGTTAGTTGCAGCACCATATTTGTGGTGTATGTATTACGTGGGTGAATATTGATTTTTTAATAACCATCCAAATTTAATTTAATAATTAGTATGTAATATATGCTTACATAATTTAAAATTAGTAGAGTTGTAAATAAATAATATATATATATATATATATATATATATAATAATTAATTGTAAATATAGCAACTATTTCCATAATTTGTAAATATATTAAAAAATAAAGGTCCAATACGAATGTAAAGTTAGTTATACCCTTAAAATGTCTCTCGTTATCAGTTATATCAATGATATATCTAAAAATGAAGTTGATATTCTTGATATATTATAAGAAATCTACTGTTACTTAAACCAAAATCTACAACTTGATAGATCTAATATCGAGTATATTAGTGGCTCATATACTTTTGTTGAAAGATAGATTTTGGCCAATTACAAATTTTCACATAATTATTTTAAATTAATAACAAACTTATATATTATTATGTTTCGGACCAATTACAAATTACCACGTTCTCAAAATTAAATTAATAGACATAAAATTAACAAATCAAATAATGTCATTTCTTTATCGTACGACCATCTGATGAGTTCAATTAGATTGTTAGCCTAAAGTCAACCAAGCTCAAAACCTAAATAAGGTTAAAAAAAAACACTATAGATTGAGAGATCACCTTCATACAAACGGATCCAGAACCATCTAGAATCATTTAGAGCCATCATCAATAGTCATTCAAAAGGAGTCCGAAGATTCAGAATTTAAGAGACCTCGCAAATGATTGAAGACTTTCTAAAGACCGAAAGCTTGAAGATTAGAAGACTTTGAACATTGAAATCTCTTTAAGAGCTAAAGACCTTCATTTAGAGCCATCATCAATAGTCATTCAGAAGGAGTCCGAAGATTCAGAATTTAGGAGACCTCGCAAATGATTGAAGACTTTCTAAAGACCGAAAGCTTGAAGATTAGAAGACTTTGAACATTGAAATCTCTTTAAGAGCTAAAGACCTTCAACAAGCGAAAACTTTAACAAGCAACAATCCGAAGATTCTTCAACAAGTAACAAGTCGAAAACTTCAACAAACTACAAGCCAAAGACTTTCTCCAAGTGATAACTCTAAAAAGAGTTGTTATTTTAAGTTGTTTCAATCCATACTTTATCCATTTGTTGGCCTAGTTTTTAATCTTTGAGAGAGGTTTCCACATCAATTAATCCCCAGAGGAAAAAAAAGGAAGCAATCCCGAGAGAAAGAGAGAAGAATATTATGAACTTGGAAAAAACCCCAGCAAAGAAGAATACAAGATATAGCTTGAAGGAAGATTTTTACCATGTAATATTTCAACGAATCCTAGTGTTTTTCTTTCATTCTTCATCTTCATTATTTATATATATGGGCTTTTAACTCTTTTCGCTCCCTCTTTTTAGTTGAAATGAGTATAAATAACTAAACCCATTTCTGGGGACTGTGAAACCTTTTGCTATGAACATTGATGGAGGATGGTGCTATTTGGTTAAACCCATATTTTCATGCTTGGCCAACATTTAGAACTATAGTACCTCTTGTTTATGGAAGAATTTGGTGAGATACAAAAGAGTCTTAAGGACGTATAATTAACCTTTAGAATTATAGTACGTCTTGTTTTCTCTCTTACTAAATCATCAGTTATTTAGTGGAGAAATGTTTATTTTAAAGGAGCTAATTCTAAAATTATCTCACACAGTGAAAGTCGAGTTAGATCTTAATGAAATAGTTCAAACAAATTATGTTACACTAACTACAGACATCATGATTGAGAAGTTCGTCTAGCCTAATTTGAGATCTTAGAACCTGTAGCTATATAGATTCAATTCCAAGATGAGACATAGCATGTTGATGATAAAGTATAGATTCAATTCCAAGATGAGACATAGCATGTTGATGATAAAGTAAAATATTGGATTATTGTAACTCATTTGAAGAAACAAAAAGCAAAACTTTGTTCTAAATGAGTCTTTTCTCCATTGGAGATTAAATTGTCATTCGAGGGAGATGTTGAACCAATTGTATGATATGACATTATTTCCTTACGGGTCATGTGATTATATGTGCAAGAACTTGGTTGCTTTTTCTCCTGAAATAAATTTAATGAAGGTTTTCTATGCTTTTCTTCATGTTCAGCGTGTCACTTTATAAAGCACTTCTTCAATTGCTTGAACACCTTTTCTATTATTTTTGTTACTTGAATAACGCTTCGTTTGAGTATTTTTTCTGTTTCTTTAGCATTGTGGTACTAGTCACACACATTCTGATGCTTAAATCAGAGTCGGATGTTTTAAGCATAGCAAAAAGTAGGATTTTGCAGCGTACCTTGATTATGAGTGTTTTCCTAACCTAGAGTCAATAGGATATTTTTTATTTTCAATTCCTTTAGATGAGGGGAATTAAAAAGTGCCATTCAAATAAGGGGAATTTGAATTCTTTAAATCTTGAGATTTTCTACCATCACATGTCCCTTCTATAATAAGACTATCGTGATAAGACGAGTTCGAGCAGACTCTACCCAAGGTAGTTGGTTGAGTCGACCAGCCAACCAAGGCTATTAGCCTTGTGGTTTGGCCCGAGCCAACCAATTGGCCAAGGTTGGTCAACCTTATGGTTGGCTCGAGCTTAACAGCCAACCAAAGGTTGGTCGGCTTTGTGGTGGGCTTGGCCAAGGCACCACAGCTCCTTGTCTTTAGCCTTGCTCTTGTCTTTGATTCTTAGGTCGGATCCGTTTCTTAGGTCTAAGCCTCTAAGCTCTCATCGCTTGACATTCGAACTTGGTAGGATTTGATCATTCATCATAGATACATGAAAATATCAATAAATATTTAATACCATGTTTCCGATTGAACTATTTTAATTAAAACTATAATTATAAAACAGTGTTTAAAATTTTAAGCTATAATAAAGTCTGCCCAAAAATGGGCATTCAAGTTGTACACCAAACTGACTTTATGATTATCTTCTAAAAGCCATTGCCCAAAAAATTAAAGCTAAAGTTATTGCACAAAGGCTTTAATTTTCTTATATTTCAGACATAATTTTCCCGACTATATATTAAAACCAATTTTCTATGATTCCAAATATGGACTTGGACCCCTCAATGCACCACACATTATCCCAAGGACCACCACCACCCAATGATGGCTCCTCTGCCTTTTTTTTTCCCCATTCCATCCCCCGTTTTATCAACTTTTATGTCTCCGTTAAATATAGATATAAATTACACCCCAAAATTTATTCTCCTAAAACCCCCTATTAATTATATTATACAACAACAATCCGACCAAAAGAATTTACGATATATCCCTAAAGAAAAGAATAAAATAAAATAAAATTTGCCCTTATTTCTTCTTATTTGCATGTTGCACCCCTGATCTTTCTTCATTTCCATTTGTACCCCCACCCTTCTTGCTCTTTAAACCTCCTCATAACCCCTTCAATGGCGACGTCGAAGGCATCTCTGAGGCCGCCGCCGTTGCCG